CCTTTGGATATATAACCAAAAGTGCTATTGCTGTGTCTTAAGGAAGGTTGTAATCATCTAACCAGATGCCAAAAAAAGCTTTCAACAAAATACAACATCCCTTCATGATAAAGGTCTTGGAGAGAGCAGGGATACAAGGAACATACCTAAATATAATTGAGGCAATATACAGCAAGCCAACAGCCAACATCAAACTAAATGAAGAGAAACTCACAGCGATCCCACTGAAATCTGGAACAAGACAAGGTTGTCCACTCTTTCTATATCTATTCAATATAGTTCTTGAGGTTCTAGCTAGAGCAATAAAACAAAAGAGATCAAGGGGATACAAATCAAAAAAGAAAAGGTCAAACTCTCACTATTTGCTGATGATATGATAGTTTACATAAGCAACCCCAAAAATTTTACCAAGGAGCTTCTACAATTCATAAACACTTTCAGTAATGTAGCAGGATACAAGATTGACTAAAAAAAAAAATCAGTAGCCCTTCTTTACACAGATGATAAATGGGCCAACAAAGAAATCAGAGAAACATTACCCTTCACAATAACCACAGATAGCATAAAATATCTAGGAGTAATTCTAACCAAACAACTGAAAGACTTATATGACAAGAGCTTTAAATTTTTGAAGAAAGAAATTGGAGAAGACACCAGAAAGTGGAAAGATCTCCCATGTTCTTGGGTAAGTACAATTAACATAGTGAAAATGGCAATCTTACCAGAAGCAATCTACAGATTCAATGCAATGCCCATCAAAATCCCAGCAAAATTCTTCACAGACCTCGAAATAATGGTACTCAACTTCATATGGAAAAGCAAAAAACACAGGATAGCCAAAATAATCCTGTACAATAAAAGAACTTCTGGAGACATCACAATCCCTGACTTTAAACTCTACTACAGAGCCACAGTGCTGAAAACAGCCTGGTATTGGCATAAAAACAGACAGGAGGACCATTGGAACTGAATCAAAGACCGGATATTAATCACCTGATTTTTGACAAAGAAGCAAAAAAAAAAAAATCAAATGGAAAAAAGAAAGCATATTTAACAAGTGGTGCTGGCATAACTGGATATCAACATGTAGAAAAACGAAAATAGACCCATATCTATCACCATGCACAAAACTCAAGTCCAAATGGATCAAAGACCTCAACATAAAGCCAGCCACACTGAACCTCAGAGAAAAGAAAGTGGGAAGTATACTTGAACACATTGGCACAGGAGAGAGACCACTTCCTAAATATAACCCCAGAAGCACAGACACTGAGAGAAACAATTAATAATGAGACCTCCTGAAACGGAAAACTTCTATAAAGCAAAGGACACTGTCAACAAGACAAAACGACAGTCTACAGAATGGGAAAAGATCTTCACTAACCTCACATCAGACAGAGGTCTGATCTCCAAAATATACAAAGAATTCAAGAAATTGGTTTTCAAAAGAACAAATAATCCAATAAAAAAAATGGGGTACAGATCTAAACAGAGAACTCTCAACAGAGGAATCTAAAATGGCTGAAGGACAGTTAAGGAAATGGTCAACATCCTTAGTCATCAGAGAAATGCAAATCAAAATAACTGTGAGATTTCATCTTACACCTGTAAGAATAGCCAAGGTCAAAAACACTGAGGACAACTTATGCTGGAGAGGTTGTGGGGTAAAGGAAACACTCCTCCATTGCTGGTGGGAGTGCAAGCTGGTACAGCCCCTTTGGATGTCATTGTGGTTATTTCTCAGACCCATTGAGTTTAACCAACATGAGTTGTGTGATCCTGGGCATGTAACTATCCATAGGAGTTCAGAGGGCTCTACCAACGGGTACATAGCTCATGACAATGATTCCCCTCTCCAGAATCTTTCTGTATCAGTAGTTCAGCAGGGGTGGGGCTGGAGGACAGGGCCATGGATGAGCTTCTTCCTGTCTGTAAATGATCTCTGGAAGGACCAGTCTTGTGAGGTCCAGTGCAGGGAACCTGAGCTTCTGTGATTGTAGATTTCACTGGCTCTATCAAGGCCATAAGGCAGCATTTTACAGCTCTTGTCCATACTGTGCAGCTTTTGAGCTCTTGTCTCCTTCTCTCCCACAATGTTCTCAGAGTGATTTGAATAGAATCTCTTTTCCCGATGTTCTTCATGTCTGTCTTTCTGGGAGTCAGAGGTCAGTGGAGACCTGAGCTAAGGACAAACCAGACCTTGCACGTGTTTACCCTGAAGTTCACTGGTGACTAATGTGACCCATCTTCTGACCCTTCCTTTGCTTCGGAAATGTCTCGGTTTATTGGGCCCAAGTGGCAGGTGACTTCAGTGGAATTATGCTCTGGATACAACCTTCGAATTGACCTTGGCTAAAAAGGCTGTCAGCCTTCAGAGTCCCCAAGCCTACAGCAGCACCAATGGAAGAAAAGCATGCTGGAAGTGTTTAGCTAAAGGAGACTGAGTATACCAGCTGTGTATTTGCAGTTTTCTTACCGTCTCAGCCTTGGTGTGACCCTCGCCATCTCGCCTGCCTTCTTCCCTCACCTCCCACAAGGCACCTAATCCTGAGGGTTCAGCCTTCAGAGTCCGTTGGGTATAAGACCATATCTCACCGTCTCAACTCTTCCCCCATGGTCCAAAACATCTTCTTCTTTTCTGCCAACATCAACACTTCTCTTTTGTCTTACTTTTGTTGCTTTTGATCAAAGCTGAATCAGATCACACCACCCCACTGCTCAGTACCTTCCTACCACGGGCTTTCCAAGTCACCCAGAATGAAATCAAATCTGGCCAAAGCTGGGGTAACCCTTTGAATGCCTCTCCTGCTTTCTCCAGTTAACTCATCTTTAGCCACAGGGCATCTGGAATCCTCTGTCAGCAGTATTTCCCAAACTATTAACTTGAATAATTGCTCAACTGTTTTGCATTGAGTTCCAAATTCAGATTTATAACTTTAAGTCCTTGCTTTCTCATTTATCAACTGAAGCCACATGAAAGATCACTGGCAACGACCCCAGAAGAAATCGTCATGGGCAGTTCCCCTTTTGTATTTGGCTCAGGCGGGTTATAGATTATAGTGAGTGGAAGGAACATGCTCACTTGCTAATAAGAATATCTCAAAGGAATATCTAGATGAACCCGGGCAAGGTTTGACAACCATTTATGACCACTAAGAAGCAACTGAAGTGTGAATTTGCTTTGAAAAACGACTATTAGTAATGAAAATGTCAAGCAGACACTGACATTCTGTAACGGGAGTCGATAGATTCACCTTTTTTTGCCAGGCCGCAGCACTCAAAATGAGCAGGCTCTGCTCTTTCCCCGGGATTAAAGCCTATTTAAGACAGTGGCTGGAAGCCTGCATAGCAGTAGCCCAGAAAGGAGCGACGCTGCTATTTAAATTACAGCTCTAGATGTCTCTAAATTATTCTTAGAGCCTGAGCAGGGCCAGCCTGACCAGTTGAATGCACTTGTTTTTCTAGTGGGAACATTTCACAGATTGGCTGCGATGGGGAGAAACAAAATTTGTATGCATACGCGAAGCATGCGTTTTGGTGCCATCTCCGTTTCTATCTGTTTATACAGTATATGCTTATCTAGGATTAAGCAAGAAGACATTTAAGAATGCTGGCTTGGTGCCTGCTTGAATGATAGACCAGAGGTTAAGGCAGGGTTTACTACTCATAGGCTCTCAACCTCCTCTGGCGCTCTTGACCCATTGGTTGAGTGTCCCTGCGTATTTCCTTAATTACCCAGATTCCTTCAAGCTCCACAGTCTCTCAACCCTCAGAACTTGCTGCTGGAATTTAAATGTGTCCAGTTTTATGAGCTGGCTGACTTTTAAGAACTCACGGCTCTATATTATCAAAGTCCGAGGTGAGGAACAAACACTAACCCATGCTTATCTCTACAGATGCGCATTCTACTTTTGACCAAATCCTTGCCCTCTTTCTCTGAGCTGCATATTCAAAAGGAAGAGAACGTTAAGAGTCTCCACCTTTGTTCATGCCCTCACTAGCACACACTCAGAATGTTCTGCGATACAACAGCCAGGCTGCCAGCGGAGATGACTTTGAGAAGGAAGGCATACTATACTCTTCAGGATAAACCATGTCAAATGAACGGGCCAGCTGCTTGCCCCTGGCTGAGCCAAGAGACGAAATTAAACTGTAGCCATTTATCTATTGGCATCTGCTTCTCACCTCTTTTTTTACTCTTTGTTTTTGCTTTCTCCTCTCTCTCTTCCAAATGGGGGCTGGAAATTGAAAAAGATGAAAATAAACTGGGAGATGAAAGGCACTGAAACCCGGAAGGGGAGACTACATGGGAACAACGTCTTTGGGGGTTATTTCTGAGTCGCTTCTATGCATATCTGTTTGCTTTCAAATTCAATGAGTGCCACCACTTCCGTCACCTATGCTGTGCTAGGCCTAATGCTAATCTGTGGCTGAAGATGTTTAGGAAAATAAGCAGAATATCCCTTCAGGGACTATTTGTGGTATGGTATCATTCATGTAAGCAATCATTTTCTGTGACAAGTCACCGAAGAGACACGCAATTAAAACTCAGTCATATTCCCATAATACTACAAGAAAGGAAGAAATGGTAATTTTAACTTGCTTCCAAGAATTAAACGTCTTCAGTGGTTCTAGACTTTTCTGGTACGTGTATAAATGTAGCTTATGTGTGCACCCCCAGGGGTCCACAATTTTCCAGAAGGAATTCAGTATATAGTTTTATTCCCTAGTTAAGATTTATTACAATGAAAAAATAGAACAAGATCACCCAAGGCAAAAGGCTCATGAGGCACAGTCTGGAAGAGGCTAAGTACCAAGTTCTGGTGGAACTGCCCCACCGTAATTCTCTAAGATGGTATGGGGAATGTCATCTACTAGGGAAGCACTTTAGAGACTCGTTATTCAGTATTCGAATGGGAGGGTTGATATCGTGGGTCGTCTTGCTCTGACTGGTACATATCAAAATGTTAGACTCCCAGAGGGAAAGCAGATGGTCAACATAAAAACTCACATTTTATTCATAGAAGCAGGCATAATGTGCTGTTCTATCTGATGGGAAGGATGCTCCTCAATTTCAAGTTCTCTTACGTTATCCTAATGTATAAGCCGTGATGTCAGTAACATGGATCTGGGATGTGGACCTTCCAGGGTATAGCAGCAGAGCCTTCTGTAGCGATTCTTTCCTGTACATTTCTCCAATTTATTTCATGCCATGGCATTGTGCTCTGTCTGCAACTTTTAAAAGATAACACCCAATTACAGACTTGTTGCCATGTCAGGTCCTGTAGCTCTACCATGGTTTCATCACGTTCCATTTCCTAGACAGTCAATGCATTTGTCATTCTGTATTGTCAGGGATTTTTTTTTTTTGAAAATGGTAATATAATGACCAGTCCCGTGCTTACATTCTTCATGGATATGTTTGTTGCCTTTGTTACCCAGGCTTCTAGAAATAATATTCCTGGTGTTATTCAGTGTGATAAGGAAGAAAAGACACTGTGTTGGAATTTTAGTGGCTATTTGAGAGAATAGGAAGAGTCTAGGAAAGAGGAGAGTGAGGAGACAGGTGACAAGGTCCAAGCTAAGATGTGAAATAAAACTTTGAGTAGAAATGCTGTGGACTCCATTGGAAGGTACGATGACAATCCCAAATGGTGGATGGAAAGGGAGCAGGGAGTAGCTGAAGGTGACTCTTAGTTACATGACCCAAAGGCTGACAAGTGGAAGGGCTGTAAGAACATCAACTCTGGAGCAGTTATATGACTCAGAGGAACAATGTGGGCACACAGATTTTTCCATCCCTTCACTCATACGTGTTGGGCATCTGTGATGCGGCAGTCACTCTGTTTATACTTACCATTAGCACAATTTTTGCCTTTTCCTTTTCCTTTTTTTTTTGTTTTGCTAAAAACACCAAGCTAGCAACGATATTCAATATAGATTCTAGATAACGTGGCCATTAATTAACTTCATTGCTATTCTTTTGTGACTGGTACAAAGCGCAATGAAAGCTGTAGAGAGTGGTGATGAGTCGGATCCCAGATGCTTGAATAATTTGCACACACTTGAGACTCAAAACATGAGAAGGGAAGGGGGAAAGAAATTATGAAAACTGAAATCATTTTAGTGTCTGGGTTTCAATATAGGCTCTTTCCAGAGCTCCCATTTCAGACAAATGTCTTTTGTAAACATGAGCAGGTGATTGGCCTCCCTCCTGCCCGCCGAGTCTTCTTTCCTACACACTTCCGAGTTTCCCTGTGAGCACATCAGTATGATGTGGGAGGGAGAAGCGGTAGGCAATTCTCTATTCTGTTCATTCATTTGCTCTCGCCTCCCTGCTTTGGAATCTGAAAACACACCCATCACCTGAAGCCATGCACAACTTGAAGGGTAAGGAAAAGGCTATCCTCATAGGGCTTTATGCAAGCATTAGTAGAAATCGAGAGCCATATGCGTTTTATCTGGCAACTTGTTTGAGTTTGTATTGGAGTCTGTGTCTGCATGCAGTTTAGTTGACGGGGAAGACCGCCACCATTCCGCGTTCATTTGTACTCAGTATGTGTAGGACATGGGATTGCATACCTTCTTTATGAGAGACAGTTTCCTTTCCTGAAACTAAAATTGGGGGAGAAGATGGATTTCTTCTTCCTTGGTTACATGAGTGTCTTTATTCTCCTTTTCATTCATGTTCAAAGCCAAGTTACATTCTCCAAAGAAGATAGAGAAATAACCTGTAAATACTTGACAGGATGTTCAACATCATTGATTATTAGGAAAATATAAATCAAAATCATGACAAGATATCAATTCCCACCCACTAGGATAGCTCTTATTGAAACAGCAGACAACAACAAGGGCAGGTAGGATGTGGAGAAATCCGAACGCTTGTCCACTGTAGGTTGGGAAATAAAAGAATCCTGTTGCTGTAGAAAACAGAGAGGTAGTTCCCCAAAATTAACCCTAGAGTCACCCTGGGACTCAGCAATTTCTGAGTAGAACACCTCCACCCCATAGGAATTGAAAGAAGAGCAAATCTAAATGGATATTCTTACACTAGTGTTTTAGCAGCATTGTTCACAGCAGTGCAACCCAAAAGTGCATGAAGAGATGAATGGGTAAGTAAAACGTGGTATATCCATTTCACAAACTCAGCTTTAAATGATTTCTGACACATACTGCAACTCGGATAAACATTACTGCAGATGGAACTATTCTTGACCCCAAAGAAAAAGTACATTACAGTTCTATTGTCGAGGTTCTTAGACTGTACAGATTCAGAGAGATGGGAAGTAAGATGGAGGCTGCCAGGGGCTAGGAATAGGAGGAAGAACGTTTCAGTTTGGGGAAATAGAAATACGTTCTGAGGTTGGACGCGGTGAACCCAGCTCCAGGAAAATTAAGATAGGAGAATTATGCACTTGAGGCCGGTGGGCTACATGGTGAGGATTTATCTAAAGACTAAGGGGAGAAGTCTGAAAGTGGGCTGTGATGATGGTACAATGATGTGAATGTGCCACAGAACCATCCTCTTAAAAATGGCTAAAGTGGCGATGAAGTGGGAGATAGCAAAGTAGTTGTCATGCTTGAGGACATGATTTGACTTTCAGAAAAAAAATAGCCAAGTAGTCATGGGCACTTGGGAGGTGGAGAGAGACAGAGCTCAATGACTAGACAGCCTAGCCTACTCCATGAGCTTCAGACGAGGGAGAGATGGTCTCAATAAACTGAATAGTGTCTGATTGTTGACAACATATATTTCATTTCAAGTGTATTTTACTACTATGTTAAAAACTGAGTAAGTTGGTACAGTTAGGACTTGCCTGGTTATGATTACCATTGCTGTGATGAAACACAATGACCAAAACCAGCTTGGGTAGGAAAGGGATTATTTGGCTTACATAATCCTAAATCGCAATCCATTGAGAGAAACCAAACAAGAGCTCAAACCAGGAGTGAACCTAGAAACCAGAGCTGATGTGAAGGCCATGAAGGAGTGCTGCTTACTGGCTTACTCCTCATGGCTCGCTTTTATAGAACCCAGAGCCACCAGCCCAGGGTGGGAAATTCCACACTGGGCTTTACCTTCCTACACGAATCACTAAATATAACATCCTACAGGCTTGCTTACAGCCCCACCTGACAGAGGCATTTTCTCAATGAGGTTTCCTCCTCTCAGATGGCAGCTCACGTTGAGTTGACATAAAACTGGCCAGAACACTGAACAAGAGTGCTCTTTGCACTCATCCTTTCCTTCCCTCTTTCCTCCTTGGGGCACTTCCTCTAAGGGCAAGCTCGGATGCAATCACTGATTACATCTGAAGAGAGGCTATGGGTGGCCTAGATGCTAGGCTTTCCTGTGTTGTCATTAAAGCTTATCTGTAATTTTACACTTAAGGGTCTATTTCCCAATGAAGAAGGTGTCCTTGACCTCATAAAACTATACTCCTTGTACCCCCACACCTTCCAATAGAAGTGATGTCATGAACAAGACGTCATAGTAGGTATTTCAAGTAAAGAGAAATTTAATTTAGAGGTGAAGTTTGGAGTGGGGGCATCACCACGGACACTGGGTACTGAAATCCTTCTTTCCAGCTGCCAAAGGAACCTGCTTGCCTCTGAGCCCATGGGACTCTACCCCTGCTGCTTACTCAGACGTTACCCAAGCCAGCAGTCACTGGTCTCGGCCCCGGACAGATATTCTATCCTTAGCACCTCTGTGGAGTCAGCAACTGATGTTTGCTTCCCAAAGGAAGACTGAAAAAGAACCCTTGCCCATGAGGGTATTCCTTGGGCATAGTTTATGCTGGAACCCACTGGCAGAGAAGTGTGAGAAACAAAATTTGCACGTTTCTAGCCCTTGTGGTTCCAGAGAGCACAGAAAGGTAGCTGCTGCACACGGCAGACAAATTTCCTGCAGGAATCCAATCCAATGTAACAGGTAGAGTGATCGCTTTTCATAGTTGGACTCTGCTCTGCAAGGATCATGAATCCTATGTCACACAGGCACATCTTGTGATCCCAGTGTCCTTGGGCAACAGCGGCAGAAGCTATTTCCCCAGCTCCTCCAGGTGTAGTAATAGGAGCAGCGGGGCTGTGTCCTGCCACCCAGCCGCCCACATGGCTAGCTTATGCCCCGAAATAATTACATGGAAACTGTATTCTTTTAAACACTGCCTGGCCCATTAGTTCCAGCCTCTTATTGGCTAGTTCTTACATATCAATCTAACCCATTTCTAATATCCCTGTAACACCACAAGGTGTCTCACCAAGGAAGATCTTAACCTGCGTCTGTGTCCGGTAGGAGAATCATGGCGACTCCTTGACTCAGCTTCTTTCTCCCAGCATTCTGTTCTGTTTTCTCCTCCCACCTATGTTTTAACCTATGAGGCCAAGCAGTTTCTTTATTACTTAACCAATGACCTTCCTCCATCATTTCCCCTTTTTCTGTTTAAACAAAAAGGAAAGGCTTTAACTTTAACATAGCAAAATTACACATGTGCTCTGCGACATGCTTTAAAGCTTATACCAGTCAACCGGCCAGGGAAGGTTAATATTTGCATTTTAAAGATTAGGTTGGACAAGGGACAGAGCAATTAATTGGTGGGGCTGGCGTCCAAATCCAAGCCTGACTGACTGCTATCGTATCTTACTCTTTTGAGCTTCAGTTTTTAACTCCCAGGGCTCTTGTGTTTTCACCTGGGTGGCCAGCTACAGTTTAATGTTTAGACCCCAGGAATATGCATTCACTTGATCTTCTATTGACTCCTGTTTCCTCCTTCCCTCCATTGTATATAGTATATATTATAAATATATATAATATAGACAGTGCATTCTGGTTATTGTCACCCCGTATCTCAGTCCCCACTTGTCCTGACATGTCCCTTTCGCACATCCATATCCATGTCCTTTTGTGATCCTACTGAACTTAACCAAGGCCATCTGCGTGACCACGGAACAGTTTGGAAGTATCCACTGGAGCTTGGTGGGCTCATCAGTGAGAAGGAAACTAAAGATTGTGACTGTCCCCTCTTTGAAACCATCAGTACTGGTTCTTATTTTCAATGGGTTCTTTTGTCAAGAACAAGCCCTGTAGGGTCTCATTGGCTTCTGAAACTCTACCTTCCTCTGCAGAGTAGATACAATCAACAGCACTGCCTTTTTGGTTCTTGGGAATGCACCCGGTCCTGGACGTAAGAAAGAAACCAGGAGACTTCTTGTGATTTCTGCTACCAAGCAATGCTGTCACTATCACCTGTTTATCATCAGTTGACAGTGTCTGCTGTAAGGAACAAGCCTCTGCTTGGTAACTTTCCAAACAGAAATACCCGCTCTTCTAATTCTGGGGGATAGGAGCTTGCAATGTAGGTCTCAGCTGTCACTCTGGAGGACGATCTTCTGCCTTCGTGGTGGCTCCAGGCATGGCTGTGGGTTCTCACTTCCCGTGCACTTCATCTTTTCTACATGTCTAAATTCCAGTGTGTCTCTGGTAAGGCTACCTCTGGTGATTTCTGGCCTTACCTGGATGATCCAAGATAATCTCTTCTCAAGATCTTTAACTTAATTCCACTTCCAAAGACCCTTTTCACAAGGTCCTAAGATTTGTTTGTGGTTATAGCTTCTAGGATGCCATTTAGCTTACTCTTCAGTCCTGGGGAACCTAGGAAGAAAGGCTGGCTGCTTCTTCCTCCCTGGATTGATCTGGGATATGGGCCTATCTACTTTTTTTTTCTCTTTCTGTTTTGCTCAGTTATTTCTGTACAGTACCACTGTAGGAGCTAGCCATGATAAGCTAAATGTGAACAGATCACCCAAAGGAAGTTTTTACTTCCAACCATGATCACCTGCCAGAGTAGCACTCACCATAAGCACTCACTCTAGATTAGTTTTGGTTGCAGGAAGGACCATAAACAAAGATTACCTGGAGCACTGCCCAAGAACAGACCATCCAAAGGAAATGCCTAAGGACCAACAGATGTAGATAGGATCACCTGCCAGCACACACTCACCAGCACACCCCTAGACAAAAGTCAACCAATCAAGGGCCCTGAACCTCAGAAACCCCTCACCCCCACCTTTAGTACTAAAAGAATCCAACTCTAACTGAGCTTGGGGCTCTCCGTTTATTGGACATGCGGAGAGACTGAGTTTGCAAACTTGCATAAAATAAAGGCTCTTTGTTTTTACATACGGGACTCGATCTCCTTGTTGGTTTTTGTGGAGACTTCCGTGGATTTGGGCATAACACCACCAGGGAAAGAAAATCAACTCTCTTTAGGCACCCATTTGAAATTCTGGTGTTTATAAATGCAACATTGTTTTCCTGCTCAGCTATACAAAATTAAGCTCAATCCAACCTCATTTCCAGCCACTCAGTCATCAAGAAACTTCCAGATCGGCAGCGTGAGTCGCTCCTGCGCTGTCCCCACCCCTCACAGAAACTGCTTGGAAGACCTTCTTCGCTTGTGGCACACAAACACCACATTCCTTGCTGCTTCCCTCTTTCTGGACGTTATTTCACAACAGCTATTTCCCGTCATTCTCTCACCTGGCTCTGAATGATTTAACTGTTAACTCTCTGGGGTGAATGCCCAGAGCCAAACTTCCTGGTCCCTCCGGCTTAGCCCAGCACCGTGCACCGCGCTGTCATTTTTCACTCCTTCCCAGACGATCACCAGTGTGTAGTTAGGGCCCAGCACTGAAGTCGATGACATCATCCCACGCAGGGGAGAAGAGCGGAGGTTACTCTTCCATGAAGGATGTAGAAGGGATTTCTGCTCTCCGGAATTTCAGAGCAAAGATGGCTTCCTGTGTCCACCCCCAGAAACACTGGATACCTCTCTTTCGGGGGTCAGTTCCACAAGCCTCACAGGCTCTCACTGTTCAGCCTTTTATCCCACTTAGGGACTCATTTAGGGACTGGCCGGGTCCCGCTCCGGCAACTAAATACAATGATCTGACGTTGTATCTTTACCCACACACCGGCCACTCGGCAAAGCTACCCTAAACTTCAAGCAATAGCTCCCATTTGTACATCTCCAGCTTCGGGGATTGAAAAGCGTGGAGCAGTTGACTGGAGACCACGACCTTTAGGTTCTCAAACTGAGAATCCGCGGTTAGATGATTGGTACCGGGTCGCCAGCCTGGAAGTAGCAAAGCTGTAACCTAGGAATCTTGGCTGTGAGGCTAATTGGCTTCCTATACTTGGACTATTCCTTGTAGTCTTGCTTCTTGTTTGGCTCACTTTCTTTTCCCTTGTGGGAAAAAGCACTGACCAAAACCAACTTGGTTATTTTGTCTTCCAGGTTAAAGTCCGTCACTGAGGGATTCCAAGGCAGGAGCTTAGAGGCTGGAACTGATGCAGCAAGCCTGGAGGAAAGCCGCTGGCTAGCTTGCATAGGTACTTTTAAAAAGCAGTACAGGTCAGTCTTCCTAGGGCTGGCACCTCCCAAAGTGGTCTGGGCCCTCCCACATGAATTAACAATGAAGAAAATACCCACGGACATATCCACAGGCCTTCCACGGGGACGATTCCTCTACTGGATTCTCCCTTTTCCCAGGCGACTCTAACTTATGTCAATTTGACAAAAGGTAATCACCACACCCCTTTCTGTTTTCTTTTCTCATCCCTGCTCCCTTCTGAGCTCAGTTCCCTGCCATCTATCTCCCTCTGTTCTTTCTGCTTCAACTCCCACACCTCCATACGCGGACCTCACTAAGACCTGTAAAGTCTGAGGCACATTTTCTAACATCGCTGAGTTTCAGTTTCTTGGTCTGAGATGAGAAATATTACTAATGTATTTAGATAAAAACATGAAGAGAGATGAGGAAAAAGAGGATTTAGAGAAACTACATTTGCGTACTTGAAGCTCGTCGGCCGGGTTGGAAATCAGCAGACACTGCTTTCCTCCATTTTTAAGAGCAGCAACTCATAGATAGGATGGTATATGTTTATCCCCCATTCACCTCGATCATCGTCATCGTAGAACTCTTTTATCTGATTTATCAGGAGACCCCGGCTGTGCCGCTCTGACCATGAGCTGTGACCAAATGAGAGAAGCCTCACGGATGCGGGCAGAGTGATTAATAGCAGCCAGGCTCTAGAGCTGTGGGAGTGGCCAGTGATCCACTGTGCCCTGACTCCCTTTCTAATTCTGTATTGTCATTTGCAGTTGTTTGGCCAAGCGAAAGGCCCTTCATCTCAGCACAATGTCTGGCTGTGGGCCTTGGATTTCCTGAATCACCAAGATATATTCTCTGGGCACTGGCATTTTCCCAGAGCAGAGTATGAGCAAGGGATGTGTGTGCAACTGCGTGTCTGCACTTGCCTGATGGCCTCTGGGGACAAAGTGCGGGTCAGAGGAGGCACGGCAGAGTCACGCCTGTGTATGTCCAGCCGCTGCTCCTGCAAAGCCGTTGTCTGGAGCTTCTGTGGTGAACAATCCATCAGTAGCACCCATGCCAAGCCATGTTAAGAGTCAAGTCAAGCTACAAAAGAGACAGGTCTCATTTTCAGATGTTGTGGTAGCTGACAGCGATGTATCTTCTGAGAAATGAAATAATAGTCTCTTGCTGAGACTGGTACTTACCAACTCCCCTTCTGCAGACCTTCAGATGCCTCTAGTCTTACGTCATGGGGATTAAACAGAAAACAGCAGCAACCCCAACAAACAAACAAACCAAAACCCAACTCAGTGCCCCATTAAAGTTAACACACACACACACACACACACACACACACACACACACCATCTTGACTGTTACCATTAGAGCACTGGTTTTATTCAAGGAGAAAGCAGCAGTGAAAAATGGCTTTTTTTCTTCCTAGAGCCAGTGGTTAAATAGAAAAGGGAATTTGTGGGGCTGCAATCTGTCAGGAATGGGGAAGTTGAGGTCCTGCCCTGCTGGGCAGCCTTCCTGATCTCACTCCCCCCCCCCCCGCCCCCAGAAGAACTGGAAGAAACACTGTGGTTCCTATTTCAAATTACACAGTTGGATGATGTTTCTCTTGGCTTCAAGTAGAAAGGCTGGTGCCCAGAGCCATCTTTTTTGGCAAAAAAATTCAGTGTACGAAGTTTTTCTTCCCTTCTGACATTCTCAGCATCACTCTTAATCACTTTTCTTTGGATCTCTATCCAAGTTTCCCTAGACTGTTTTCTTTTTTCTTTCTTTTCCTTGTTGCCTCATCTGCTTGTGAACTCTGAGGGAGCCGAAACAGTCTCTCCCTCTCTACAGTGTGGAGCAGTGTTTCACAACTGTCGTGTGTGTGTGTGTGTGTGTGTGTGTGTGTGTTTGTGTGTGTGTGTGAACCTGCTCTACTTAGTCCTGTTTTGAGAACAAAATACTTGAGACTCAATAACTTAAATAAGTTAGGAAGAGATGTTGCTCTAAGTCACACTGTGGGAGGCTGGTAGTTCAAAGAGTATTATACCAGTTATTGGGAGGGCCCTTCTGGCTACATTGTATCCTAGTGATAGTAACCGCAGGGATCTCTCCTATGAGAGGAAGCCAGAGGGCAGGGAGGGACTAGAACTGCTTTGTTACATCAACCTCTTCTCAGAGCTAACCCAGTGTTCATAGAGAGGCATTATTTCCTTCCCTTTCTTTTATATCCATCCATCTTGGTCACCTAATTTCTCCCTATTGGACTCCACTACCTCCCAGTGCTATGGCATCTGGGCTAAACTCAGAAAACAGGTACCCAAGGTGGACATACTCAAACAACAGCCAAACTATAAATTTACTAAAACGACAACTTTATCCAGTAGTTCTGGAGCCGAGTCTGAGTTTGTATCTCTAACAAGCTCCTGGTCTAAGGTCTACACTTTGAACAGCAAAGCCATAAACCAAGGCCAGGTGAAGCCACCTAGAATAGCTGTGGCAATTTTAAGACAGGGAAGAGGAAGTTGAGACAAGTGCTGAAATCCCTGCGTAAAAATAACAATGGCCAAGGCCTGAGCTCCCGCAATTGAGAAGTGACGGCTCACACTTCTCACTCTGCAAGGCTCACAGTCAGGAAACATCACCAGCTGGACACCTCCATTCTGAAGGAGGACACCTCCTTCTGGGGAAGGAGGACGAGATCAGACCTCATTCCACCGTGATTGAAATGCTTCAGGAATGGGATTTCTGAATAAATTAGTTATTCATCATGAGCGAGGTATTATAGATAAATACCATACCTCATTGCTATTCTAAAGTGTCCACCAGCCATCTCTGTTAAGAAGAAAAATAGAAGAATTAATGTGATTCTAAACAGTGATCTGCTTAATGATTTCAAGGTTTTTTTATCTGAAGAGGATTTCAATAAACTCCTTTAAAAGAAGTGGAAGAAAAATAAATGTGTGAAGGGCTCATATAATTGCTAAAAGGTTGATTCTCCAGGACGAGAAATCAAGAAAACGGGTGAATGTTATAGGAAGATATTTAAGTACTTATTCAGGAAAACTAAATAGAAAATCAATCAGAAAAAATAAAAAATTCATAAATCCAATTGCTTCTAATTGGCCTAGCACATAGTACAGAATTTCAAATGTTTGCCTGTGAACAGCTCACTCTCTTGAAATGATGCCTCTTAGCGCAGGAGAGACTATTTGGGTCACACTTCTTTTCCTGTCAAAGAACCCTCATCAAGCCCACAGCAGTCCTTCAAAGGCCTGAAAGACTCCTTGTGGTCGCTATTCATAGACAAATTCCCACTAAGATTTACTTAAGTCAGAGAAGAACACATTTTCATTTCTAGTCTTTTATACATTTATTAATTTCCTAGTATCTACACAACTCTAGACACGGTCCCTCAGGAGAGACACCATATTGAGCAATGATTCTTGGAATTTTGGGATTTTATTTTTGAGGGGGGAAGAGATGGAAGCCTAATTAACTGAAGAACAAGATTGATGTGAGTGATTAGGAGAGACAAGATGGGGATGATTTCTGATGAAGGGAATTGCAGAGGTCACTTGAAGGACGTGAAACCGACTTTAGTAGGTATGAAGATATTTCACAGTGGAGAAAACCATACACCTCCTTGAACAAATGTCCAGGAGAAATGTGAGGTAGGCTCCGAGAATGCAGACACAGGGCTTAGCAAACTATATTGTGTAAGCCTGAAGAAACGTCATCAATTTCCAACCTCCATGCCGGCCTCTCCGTCTCTAACTTGTGTGGACGTTCAGACTTTTCCCACTTCCTTAGTTTCTTTCTCTTGTCAGAACAAATGTCTCCCACCATGACTGGAGAGACAGTGGGCAGAGCACAAACCGCTATTCTAAAAGACCAGAGTGGGATTGCTGGCGCCCACATCTGGCAGTTCACAGCCCCCCAAAACTCCAGTTCTGCTGGAGTCAACATTTTTGGCCTCTATGAGTATCTTCATTATATGCACAAATCCCCACATAGACACTTACACATACAAATAATTAAAAAGAAAAGTAAATATTTTAATAAAATATCCCAGCAAACACTCTTGTTGTTGACAAAGTAAGGCTGTCCC